TCTGTTCTAATTCAACAACATCTTGATGCTGGACGTATTCGTCCTTCGAATTCGCCTTATTCCTCGCCAGCCTTTTTGATACCGAAGGCAGACCCAAGTGCTTTACCTCGTTGGGTCAACGATTTCCGGAAGGTTAACGCGAACACAGTTCCTGACCGGCACCCTCTCCCGCGAATAGACGATATTATCGCTGCCTGTGCAAAAGGCAAAGTTTGGGGCAAGATGGACATGACAGACTCGTTTTTCCATACTCGCATGCACGAGGACTCCATTCCTTTATGTGCTGTACACACTCCTCTAGGCCTATACGAGTGGACGGTCATGCCACAGGGGCTTCGTAACGCCCCTGCGTGTCACCAACGACGTGTAACCCAGGCCCTGCGTGAATACATTGGAAAGTTTTGCTATATTTACGTGGACGATATTATTATTTGGTCAGACTCTGAAGAGGAACATGCGGAGCATGTTCGTCTCATTCTTGAAGCACTCCGGAAAAATAAGTTCTATATGAACCCAAAGAAATGCAAGTTCTTTTTGCCTGAACTTGATTTCCTTGGCCACCACATTTCACGACGTGGCGTCGAAATTCAGTCGTCTAAGGTGGAGGCCATCATCAATTACCCTACACCGAATAATGCTTCTGAAGTGCGACGATTTTTGGGAATGGTCCGTTTTGTGGCTGGATACCTCGATATGCTTGCAGAGTATACTCGCTTTCTGACGCCGCTGACCACAAAGGAATGCGACAAGAGTTTCCCGATCTGGACAGATGAACATGCGTATGCCTTCAACGCTATTAAACGTTTAGTGGCCTCTCGAAACGTACTCACTGTTATTGACCATGATAACATGGGTATAAACAAGATTTTCCTTGTCACCGATGCGAGCGATTTCCGTCGCGGTGGAGTCCTTATGTACGGTGCGACTTTGGACTCTGCAAGGCCTGTCGCGTTCGACTCCGCACAATTCTCAGGTGCTGAGTTGAATTACCCTGTTCACAAGAAGGAATTACTGGCTATTGTTGGTTGCCTTAGAAAATGGAGGGCAGACTGCCTCGGAATGAAGATTTACGTGCTCACAGATCACAGAACGTTGGAGAACTTTGAGACTCAGAAAGACTTGAGTCGCCGCCAATTACGTTGGCAAGAAGAACTTAGCCAATATGACCTAGATATTGCTTACATCCGCGGGGAAGACAACCCTGCCGCTGACGCGCTCAGTAGGATTCGCCTTGGGGCCCTACCATCTGACCACACTAATGATGTTACGATTGTTCCTGACGACGACCCCATTGACCCTCCTAATGTGACTTCTTGGAAGTCTAACCCTTTCACCTGTGCATCTGTGTTGTCTGTGAATGCAGACCTTGATTTCATTAATGATATTCGTGCTGGTTACGAGGACGACGACCTTGTCCACAAATTTGTCAACGGTGGTTCTCTCGTGCCTGGGGTCGAATGGCGTGATAGCCTTTGGTACATTAACGACCGTCTTTACATACCAGCATACAAGTCCTTGCAGGAGGATCTTTACCATCTCGCTCATGATACATGTGGCCATTTTGGTGGTGACAAATCATACGCGTTGCTGTCGAATTCCTACTATTGGCCCCGGATGAAGCGTGATCTCCTGAAACATTATATTCCTGGCTGTGAAGACTGCCAGAGAAATAAAGGTCGCACTTCCAAAAATCCTAAGGGACCCTTACATCCCCTCCCCGTGCCTGAGTCCCGTTGTGACAGCATCGCTATGGACTTTGTTGGTCCATTACCCGTGGATGAGGGTTTTGACTGCATCCTGTCAATTACCGATCGACTTAACTCTGACCTAAAAATTATTCCGACTCATTTGGACATCACTGCACGCGAGCTTGCTCGCATTTTCTTTGACCACTGGTACTGCGATAATGGGCTACCTCTGGACATTATCTCGGACCGAGACAAACTTTTCGTGTCCTCCTTCTGGACTGAGTTACATAAACTCACCGGGGTGAAATTGAAGATGTCCTCTTCGTTCCACCCGGAAACCGATGGTGCCAGCGAACGGTCTAACAAAACTATCAATCAGGCAATCCGTTTTCATGTTGAGCGCAATCAGCACGGTTGGGTTCGCTCCCTTGCGAAAGTACGCTTTGACATAATGAATTCGGTGAATGCTTCGACTGGGCTTTCTATGTTCGAACTACGTTATGGTCGTTCCCCTCGTGTTCTACCCCCTTTGGTTTCGCGCAATAATGTGGCGAAGATCGATTCCAGCAAAGACGCCAAGGACGCCCACCGTTTCCTTGAACAGATGTCCTGTTTGGAACTCGAAGCAAAAGATAACTTGACCGCCGCAAAAAATTCTACAATCTTACCATGCAGATAAAGGACGTGGCCCTTGCGAAATCTTCGAGGTCGGTGATTGGGTGATGCTATCCACTCTCCACCGCCGGGATGCTTATAAGAAGGCTGGTGAACGCCGTGTTGCAAAGTTTTTTCCCCGGTTTGACGGACCTTATGAAATAATTAAGGCTTTCCCTGAATCTTCTCACTACACTCTCGATATTCCTAACCAACCCAACTTGTTCCCGTCGTTCTATGTAGATCAGCTTAAACGTTGGACCCGGAATGACGCGTCACTTTTCCCAGGTCGCGAACAGGACTGGCCTGCCCCCACAATCGTGAATGGATTTGAAGAATATACTATCGAACGTATTCTGGATTCACGTAAACGTGGCCGTGGTTGGCAGTTCCTGGTTCGCTGGTGCGGACAACCTCCGAGTGAAGACCGCTGGCTCTCATACACCTCACTGCAGGACTGCGCTGCCCTTGAGGATTGGGTTCGCACTGGTGGAGATGGGCCAACTGATCTTATTGCGTCTGTCTAATATTCTCGTTTCTGGACCCTGTGTCCCCTTCCTTTGCTTTCCTCTACTAATTTGCTTGCGATCCTCCGTGGATTCTCTTTTTCAAAATGGGGGAGGATGTAAGCGCTCTCGCGCTTACGACTCAACGTACCCCGCATACCCCGCACTCGGCATACCCCGACCTCCGGCATCCGGCACTACTTATAGCTCTCTTCCATATATTACATACGCTAGTCGTTTCTTACTTTCGACTACCACCATCTCTCTATCGTACGATATCCCTCCTCTGCTGTAGACCTTGTCAATACAGCGTGTGACTATCAAACCGTCCGATTGTGAGTGTCGTCGTGTACACGACGTTTACAGCCTGGCCCACTTCCTGAGACAAACTTCGTGGTGCTCTGGGTGAGAGCAATGAATCCACTTACTGGGATATCCAGAATGAGATCTGTCGATTCAGCCAGCTCATCGACAGACCCATCGAAAAATAACCAAGCCCTGATTGGGCGGTTGTAGGTGGATGTGGACGGCCTTTGGAAGGACACAATGCGTCTCATTTTGATGGGTGGAGAAGGGACTAGAAAGCGAAGCTATAGGCCATGTCAGCTTGACGCCTGGGTCCCGAAACAGATTTAACCACGCACGATAGGATTTGTTGTCTTTTCCCAAGTACAACGCATCATCTCTAATGTTGGTACAGCCCGAAACTGACGAAGCTAAATCAATGTCAGTACTTATTTTGGATGAGAGTGTACGAGTCCTACCTCCTCATGGGCGTAGAACAGATAATATACAGAAAATAATAAAGAACAAATATCTCGTAACCATCGAATGGAAATCCCACTAGCAGTAAGAAATCCCGCATTCTGTGGAGACTTTGTTAGCTGAGAAGTCTTGGGGGGAAAATGTCTATCAACCGGAGCAGTATTTATCAATGTTGCACGATAGTGGGAAGGAGAGTACTACGGAGACTCGTTGATTAGACAAAACTTTTCGGGGGGATCTGTTACCAACCAGGCGTACTAATGGTTCGGGACCTGGATTATTAGACGATTGACGTCGAGCGCTCTAATATTTCGAAGTACCCACTAGTAAGACCAAGAATTTTGTCAAGATTACGAATGAGATAGCACACAGTCAAAATACCGGCGATGATTTGTCGTGGAGAAAGAGAATCTGGATTGAAAATAAATGAAATAGGTTCTTCCAAGGAGAAAGTAACCTACGAAAAAACGCATCTAATCGCACCCAAAAATACCCAAAAGAAGAAAGTCGGAGCTTCGGACGTCCAAACAAGAAATCAAACGAGAAACCAAACGCAAAAGAGAGTGACGAGAAAAGCCTACACATCTGTAAGAAACAGGCTCGCGACAACTTGAATAAAAGTCAGAAGCTTACCTGGATACGCTGCCACGCAGTACTTGGAAGACCAAATGATCAATCATACCGCAAATCTCCGAGACTAGTAATGAAGGAAGAAAGAACTTAGAAGGATCAAGACGATGGGCAATGTAACGACCAGCCTTGTAAGTCTCGATCTTCGCAACATAGCTGAGTGATCGGAAGCTGATCTGGACCTGAATAGAAATTCCGGATTGAAAGACAGTGGGTCGGAGGTTGGTGCTCCAAGTCTCATTCACAAGATCTGAAAGAACGGAGAAAGTATCAGTGTTGAAAGACAGTGGACAGATAAGATAATGTCGAGTGTTCCGAGTCTTCAGGAACAGAAGCATAGTTGGTTTCGCCCTACAGCGAGTAAAAGGAAATCATCGAGGGAGGCACTAAGCTCGTATCGTCTCCGCATGCAGCCTCGTTATGATTTTCGGAATCCGATTGCTGGATATCACAGAATTTCTCGGGAAATTCGTCCAAGCTCCAACCAAAAGTAATCTGGCCCAAAGGAAATGTTCATCAAAATCGTTTGTCCTGAAGATGTCAAGGATCTTCGTACTTTCGTGGTCAATTTTCGTCATGGTTTGAGTCAAGCGTTATACAGTTATGTCAAGCGCTCCGAATCGTCTGCTTACTGGCTTCGTGCGCTTCCTGGAATGTTTTACGGACGAGAATCGTCAAAGTAGACATGGAGAAGCAATATTGCACAAGAGAAAGCAACTACTCAGAAAGAACAAAAATCTAAGACAACATTCATTAGTTCCAATGCGGGGAATCGAACCCCGGGCTGCTGTGCAAATCTACAGTGGAATTAGCATCACTATGTGACCTGAAAGACAGCAATGTTAGCCACTACACCACATTGGAGTGACGACTATTAGCACGTCTGTAAGTGTACAATATCATAGTTATTATACTCAGTGATATCGTGACTTAGCTCAAACATCTTTGATACGACTATAGAGATATCCCACAAAACAGATCGCCCAACGCATCACATATGTATCTTCCTGTCTCAAGAATAAGCAGGAGGCGAAGAAATGAACGAATCCCGCTGCTCTGGCCGTCATGAGCAGGATTCTGCGTCGATAGCGCCTGAACCTGATAATTCAACCTCTCTATCATTTCCATCATCCGTCTACGGGTCGGGAATCTACTACTGTTCACTCGCGAGCCTACCTCGTCTAGCTCACCACCCCCAGCGGGAGGCACGGATTCTCCTCCGTGGCCGAGTTCATTAGCAGGAGGAAGACCGGGACCGAGAAGAGAGAGAGGAGGCGGCGGAAGTTGGCGGAGTGGGGCAAGTGCGGGGAGTTGAGAGGGTGCATCACTTATACTGCCAAGTGGACTCGTACCAGCACTAGGTTGATACGCCGGAGATCGATGGCCGGGAGTGAGTGACGGAGCAGCACCGGGCGGTAATGGGCTAACTGGGGTCATCATGTCGGTATTGTAGCTTTTACTGAAAGGTGTTATTCCAGATCCTGCTGACGCTGGGTTAAGTGAGTGTGAGCTATTCGGCGGATAGGCATCGAGTTGTTCCAGGTCATTATTGTATCTCTTTGTAAAGGGAGTTATCGGGGAAGAGGTTAATGGTGAAGTCACCATCTGGGAGTTAGAGTGTGGTGAGAGGTCTGAGACGGGGGCATAGGGATAAGTATTAGGCTTATCCCGATGTTCGCGAAGTTGTGATTGAGCTACTTTTTTCAGTGAGTGTTTAGTTATATATGGACAATGTGTTTAGAGACACTTACATTCAGCCTGGCTCTTCAAAGTTGACCGTCTCCGGCGTTTCCTAATAATGAACACGACAAGTGCTAAGAGAATAAGCCCTGCTAAAGAGCCTACGACTGCTCCTACGATTGCTCTCGTATGATTATTGTGAGTCGCGGGGCTCCCTGCAGGACTATGCGTCGGTGTCACAGATGATGAAGACGAAGTTGAAGTGCTTGTCGTCGTCGTCGAAGTACTCGGAGCTTCCGGAAGCTCCGGCATCGAATTCAACGTCTTAAAATTCGGCGTGAACTGGAACGCACTGAACGAGAACTTCTGCGTGCCAGTGACTTGTTGTACCTCGATCGCAATCGTGTGGTTCACATCCTGCGGGGCAGTATTAATCTCCGACGGAGCATTCGACGCGAATCGGGCATTGAAATACGTGTAGAAGGGGATATCGGTTGCGGAGGAATTGGTTAATATTGAGATGGGGATAGTGGTTTCGTTGTCTATGGAGACGGAGAAGGTCAAGTCCCCCACGATGGTGTTTTGGTGAAGGTATCCGAGAACGGTGATGTCGTTTCCTGAAAACTAAATGGTGAGCTAAATGCTTATAAACTAAGAGAGGTGAATGGCGGTACCGTAGAATGGGAACCAGATTTTATCACCAGATGTGGTGCTATCCCGCGTTGAACCATCTGCACTGACTTTCCAATCTCCTGTGTATTGAATCACGTTTGTACTATTGTGGTCCACATAGAGCGTGTCAAGCGATAAATCCGTATCTCCGCTGGGCTGAACGAGGGCATAGTCCACATTTACTTCCACACTGGTTTGATTAGATCCAAAGACGAGTTGTAAAACATGAGAGCCATTGGAGAAACCTGACCCTTGGTAAAGAATCGCGGAGGATGGCGCTGAGAGAACTTGAGAAGGATTGATATCGAGAGTAGCGCTGTATGGGCATGAAGTGAAGTCGGGTAGGCAAGAAAAGAAGCCAAAGATCGTAGCCGATACGCCTGCAGATCAAGAAGGCGGTTAGACGCGATTCACAACTCGAAATTAGCAAATAAAACTGACCCGCAAAAGTGAGGTTAAGCCCTACATCTATTGTCGCATTCAGCGAGATTGTAGAGGTATTATCATACAGTCCAAGCCCGGGCTCCGTAACACCGCTCCAACTTTGAGTATACGTGAAATAGGACCCTCCATCCAATAAAAGAGTTTGGTCGTCTATAATGATATCCGGCGTGAAGTTTGCCATACCAGCGATGAGCTCGGAAGGGAGAGGATCCCCTGAGGAGCGGGGAAGGACGGAGTCGTGGACAGAACAGAAACTGAAGGTCGAATTCAGACCCGGGTGAGATTGTCACAGGAGGCGTTCTACATTGAATAGACCAGAGTACAGTAGCGCAGGCAACAAGCAATTAATCATCTAGGCATGTGCATCCAAATCAGTGCGGAATGCGCCCGTCGGACACCTTGGGAAGTAGTTATTCATTAGTATACGCGCTGAGGTTGAATGGAAGCGGAGAAAGACTTACTCTTTCTTCCGGTTTATAGATCAGATATCCTTGACGATATATCTTAGATGTAAATAGTCCTCAGTTTAATTGGTAAAGAAAACGTCGGGCGCTAGTTCCAGCGTCAACTTGCACTCCTGCTTCCTGCTGTTTATTGATTTCAATCTTGTCAGTCTTTACAGCCACTCCGCATGGAGTATACACCCCCACAGCGATTTCTTCGCTGGGAGACACTTTTAGTCTCAACGCACTTTGACATAGAGATACCACTTTGATTAGCACAATACATAGACAGCCACCCTACCATACATACAAGATGTAGAGTAATGCCTACCATATCCCTCGGGACAAAGGGCAATAAACAAAGATACAAAAAAAAAAAAAAAAAAAAAATCTTGTCAGTCCAAAGTTCAGCTATTTCAATAATGAAAATTGAGCTGACATGGCTACTATCATCACTGAAATCTATCCCCAGATGTTCAGTCCACTTCGCATCTCAGCAGCCGGGGAACTTGTGCTATTCGCGCAGCTTCAGAAATTGGAAAGGATGTGCAGGCTATTGCACCGATACGACCGAACATCGCACAGTATTTGATTCAGCGACTGGCAGTGGCTGAACTCGAAGATGCGCTCAGACCCGAACTTCCATGGATATCTTCCTTAGAAATGTGCAAAGGCGCCCGAGCTTCTGCTCCGCTTTCCAGGAGAATACATCAGGGGTGTTCAATACCACTCGCGACAAAATTCGTGGGCGACCATCCGGGAGTCGCTTCGTATGCATTGGTGCTTGTCAAGCACCCGCCCTTTCAAGTGTGCCTCGGGCAATTCAAGGTTAGCCAAAATACCCGTCACAAGATTGAGGCACTCAAACGTTATTCAGTTTCTCTCGGATAATCAAGCCTTCTCTATGACATATTGGGTCAAATCTTAGTCGAAAAGTACCTACCCTAGATTCCGTGCTTTAAAAACATTCAAGTTGTATTGGAGAACTTTCAATCCAATATGCTTTCCTCACTTTCAGCCTCGATCTTTCTTTCAGTCTTACTAGCTAGACATGCAAGGGCCTCTGTAGCATTTTGCAGCAATTTGGACTAAGAATCGGGCGCTTTGGGATTGTCTCCATAACGCTGCACCGTTTTCTCCTGTCCAGGTTAATTATGCCCTCGCACCATCAGACTGCCCGGCCAACAGCCAAGTCGAAGGTTATTTCTTCTACAGTCCACAAGGTATGTGCTATTATCACGATATGTATATGCCACTAGTCGTTGACCTTGACCTTTCCATTCTCAGGAGCAGTCGCAATGCAAGGCGGAGGTCTAATTATGAACCCCAATGGTACCATGGTTTACTATGCCACGGGTTTTGGTCAGTGCTCAATGCGAGGACTGCAAGAGTACGAAGGAGCAGATCATCTCGCCATCTGGGTAGGAGATGGCTCTCCGGTAACCGGAAGGCACGGAAGTGGCTATATATATATATATAAAAACCTATTGGTCGACAATACCTATTCGGTCGTCGAAAACGTGTACGTTTTCCTTTGTGTAGTCACGGTGCGAGTCCCATACTCACTCTTCAACAGCACAGTTACGAATCTTGGCACAGGCGCTGATGTGCATGAGGTGATATCTTTGTCTATTGTTTCGTATTCGTTCTGAACACCTTTGTTCAGCTTCAAATTACGCCGAACAAAACTGCCGTCATGACTGCCTATCCCACCCAAGGTATGCCTAGTTTATTAATAGATAAATTTGCGATTGACGTCGACCCTCTTTTTGTCTCATTCAAGAGGCGGACTTGACTGCTTTCGGTGGCCCCAATCCCGGATACCTACTCAATTGCGCTGCACAGGAAGTTGACATTCCACAGGTATAACTTCGAGCACAATTTTTTTTTACGTTGACTCTCTTTCTGACTCACTCGATCTCTATGATTGCAGGTGAAGCTGTATTTACTTGGAAAGCGTTGGACCATGTCGATCCTAGCGAGTGTTATGCGGCGATTGGGGATGCTGGAACTGGTACTGTCGATGATCCATGGGATTATTTTGTGCGTGTCTAATAAGTGGCCGAGTCTTTCTCAAACTCTAATTTTTTGGCCATAGCATATAAATTCTATTCAGAAGAACGACGATGGAAACTATTTGATTTCATCGAGACAGTACGTTCTTCCCTGAAAATAAAAACATATGACTGTGACTGATTCCTACCGAATAGTTGCCACACGTTGTACTCGGTAAACCCCGATGGAGATATCATCTGGAGGATGGGCGGGATGAACTGCAATTTCACTTTTGGCCCAGGCGCAAATTACACCTGGCAGCACCATGCAAGAATTCACAACTGGACCACTCTTTCGTAAGCTTTTTCTTTATATTCCAATAAAGACGAAATTCCACCTATTTTACTAGTGTATTTAATAATGGTGCTTCAGAGTGGGATCAAGACTTCCCTTCTCGCAAGGTCTCCTCCTCAACTACGACGACTCTGCCATGACAGTCTCTCTCATAAATGCAAGAAGCCCGTTTAATCGTACGGCCACTACTGCTCAGGGATCTGTACAGCTTCTTGACAACGGAGACTCTATCGTAGGGTAAGCCTCTACATGAAAACTCACAGTGCACATCCACTC